CAGTCCTGCAGCCAGGGCTTGGGGGTTTTCCTGGGGAGAGACAGAAGCAGGGTGCTGTGCCATACAGGGCCTCGCTGAGCATTCGAGCCATCCCATCGTCTCACCCAGCCTCGCAAGTGCCACGCGGGTCCAGCTTCCCTCCCTCCTCTGCCCACCACAGCGAGCTGCTGCAGGAGGGACGGAGCGTGCAGGGGAGCCGAGGACCTTGCTGCGACAGGGCACGGTGCGTACCAAAAGTCTGCAGAGCAACAGGACAGATTCGCAGCTCCAGCCTAGTCGCATCTCACCAGCTGCTGGCAGACGTAAGGGATTGCTGGAGGCCAGATCACCTCTAGCACCGTTCTAGGGGCTCAGCGTTGTCCCACCTCCCACACTGTCACCCACCAGTGTAAGCTCGTACAACCAACACAGCTCTCAAACCCCAACACAGAGGTCACCCCTACTTCTCCTCACGCCCCTTATGTCTGATTCAAACCCCCGTCATATGGCCCATATGCTTCCCACCTCCTATCTCAGACACAACCAGAGGCCACAGTAACAAGGTGCCATCTATGATGTCCCAGCAGGATGGGACTTTCCAAGCACATCTCCATTGAAGCTGCTCCTTTGCAAAGGGAACCAACCATCACATCGAGCACCTGAAGGTATCACTGGAATAACAGCAGAAAAAATAAGCAGTGATGGAGAGGAAGGAGGCTGAGGGAAAGACAGAGGGAGATGTGAAAAAAAAAAAAAAAAGTTTCTCAGCCTTTCATTTTAACCATGAGGACTTGGAGAAGAACTTGAGAGCACAGGAAATCAGCAAGGAAGCAGAAACAGAAAATCAGTGTGTGTGTGAAAGGCTCAGTGCTTTGGGGAACGGGGACATACTCTGACACCCGCAGCCCAAGCTGCTGTGGAGCAGGAGTAGGCTCCAAGGAGAGCAGCCTCTCCTCCGCCTCCCCGGAACTCCTCATGTTGCACAAGCACTAATTCATATTCCATTTCCATGGGGTTGCACCAGACTCTCAGCCCTGTAAATGAGATAAAATTTGTTTCTGAGTGGCTCTGGCTCCTTGCCTTTTCTTTGTGGAGATGAGCCCTTTCTTTTCCTCTTCCTCAAATAGTTAGATTTTTTTTTAATGACCTTATTTTTCCTTTACCACAACTAAAGACTGCTCCCAAGAGCCAGCTGAGTGCATTAAACCATTAGCAAATTCTTCCTTCCAGTGCAAATAAATACAGAAAAAAGCCTAGCTTCTGTTTACAAAATATCCATCTCTCATTAATAAATATTAAATCAACTACTACATAACAAATGACGCGTCCTGGAACGGTTCATAAGACACACGGTACCATCTGCCTCCTTATTTGGAAGCAGGAGACGATGCAGCGAGCTTTTATAGCTATCCTCACCTTTTCTCTGGGGACAGGTAAGCTCAAGAGGGATAGAAAAGTTTTGAGGAATTCTCTTCTCACCTACATAAGAAGGGATTCGCCTGTGTTAATGATGTTTTCCATACCCACAGCCCCATACCCTTTCTCTTTTGGTACAGCTCTCTTTCACAGGTTGGGACCTTGTCTGATTCAAGTGGAATTTTTTTTTTTGTCTAGCAGGGGCTGCTCCAAGACACCTCTGCACCTACTACGATGTTATTGAGTACCTGAACGTTTCCTCTCACAGCAAGCTGCACGCACACATACTGCCCAAGGCAAGCTTGAAGGAACCTTTGGAAGTGACGATGGATTTTATGCTGGTGGCTATTCTCTCTGTGGTAAGGACCCAAAACTCCTGTCGAGTCTTTATAACAGAAAATTGGGCGATTGCTAGACTGGGATCTGAATCTTCTGCCAGGGCTGGGCCAGCAAGGCCACGGGGACGAGAATCACCCTCTTCCACATCTTCAGCTTTCTGCTGTTTGAAAGCATTTTTGGAAGATCTGGAGTATTTTCTGCCACCTACTTCCAGGAAAAAGTTCAGAAGCTTTATAGCAGGCTCTAAAACCAACCCGGCGGAGTGCCTGAACTGAGCATGGCATTTGCAGAGCACTGGCTGTGAATGTTAACAATAATCTATCTTTTTTTTCAAATCATCAGACCGTGTGCTCCCCCTCTTCAGCCACAGGTCCAAGATCCTTGAGCTCTCCTCCTGAGCTGAGTTTCTGCAACCAGGGGAGAGCTTCAGGGCTCTGCATTGGATGTAGCTAAGAAAATCAGCTAAATATCTTCCCTTTTGTTTCTCCAGGCCGAAAAGCTCCAGACTGTCACTTTTTACTTCGTGTTGAACCTGGTAGGTCCTTCGAGAGCATTTCTCTCCTGTGATGCCTGGCATGATGGCTGGTGCCAAGTCTGGCGCTCATTTCTCTCCTGCAACTTCTTCCCCCAGGAGTGGAAAAACACTTTTGCAACCTGGGACCCGCAGGATTTCTGTAACATCTCCAAAGTCTTTCTGCCCACGGATACATACTGGTCTCCCCACATCTTCATTTTAGAGCGGTAGGTTCCCCTTTCATTTTTATCCACTGGCTTAAGAGAAATACAATGGATGCAAACTGTTGGTGTTATAGTAGGAAACGGGATGAATTCATATTGTTAAAAGTTGTTCCCATGAGCTCTCTAACCAAGAACCTTGTAATTTCAATTAATAGCAACCACAGTTAATGCAAAGCACTTTGTGGCTCTGTAATACGCTAACACCTCCAGAAATGTCCCATCTGGGCTGTAGTTAAAGCTGAGGAAGCAGCAATGTCGTGGAAGGAAAGACAAGAAAGAGGACAGAGCCCTGTGAGTCTGACAGAGGGATGGGCTTGGGGGGAAGGAGGGGGAGGCAGCTCTGCAGCACAGCAGAGAGACAACAACGAGCCCCAGCCCCAGGTGAGGGTGGGAAGCAAAGGGGAGAGAAAGGAATTTCCTTAGGAGGTGCAGGAGGAATAAACAACGGTCATGTGCGTAAGTTCAGCTGCTACAAACCTTAGTAGCCTTTGGACTAGCTCACTTCAAGCCCAAGGTTTCCTCTCCTCACTGCTACATCCCATGGCTGGGTGACAGCACAGAGCCTCCCCGAAAAGATGCTTACAGCCCTGGCTTTTGTGGGACTGAGGAGCATTGTCGGAGCTCAGTCGCTCCCCACTTTTGTTTCCTCCAGAGTGAACGGACAAAACTCCAACTTGGATTATATGACCGTCATGCACAACGGCAGCTTCAACTCCGCGCAGCCCTTCCAGGTTACCTTAACATGCAGCTTGATGATCCTCAAGTTTCCTTTTGACACCCAGACCTGCAACTTGACCATAGCTTCATTTCTCTACCCAGGTACAGCAGCAAGCTCAGTTTTACTTGAGCTGGGCTGAATTTGCGGAAGGGGAATAGATGAGATGGACCTTGGCTAACTCCTGGGTTCTCTTAGCTGCACCACACACTTACACTGGGTTAGCAGGGTTGAGGTCATATAACACCAGGGAAAACGAGCTAAACCACTGTCATTCTGTTTTGACACGTTTCCTGGCAACATCTCTGGAAGCATCCGGACGTTCTGTGGCTATCCGTGTCCCCCCCGTATTGATCTCTACGAACCAAGTGACTAGCAGGCTTCCTGCGAACAAGGCTACTTGTTCACATAAGATTTTGAAGGACTGATCTTTAAACATACCTGAAAGCCATGGAAACGAGAGGAAATTAAGGACAGTTTCATGGCTCCAAACTGCAGACAGAGTTCCCTCCAACAGGAAGGGTTGAAAAATAAGCAGAGGTGACATGAAACCCTCCAGCTCCCATCCACAAAGGACAACTGTCGTAACTCACCAGATTTCCCCTCTGATCCATATTCCTAGAGGTCCAGCCAAGTCTTTTTGCTGGAGTCCTTTTTAATTTCTCCCTGATGGGCTAAGAGACCCCAGCCTTTTCCCCATCTGTGTACATGCTTGGTTGGGAGGGAAAGGGAGAGGAAATAACTGACCTCTAATAAATACCTAAATTCTGCAACTTCTCTCCTCCTCTCCATCTGACCCAAGCAGTAACAGACCTTGTCATCAAGACAAGACGGACACCAGCTGAGATGATGAAAAACAGCCAGAGTTACTTCCTAACTGATGGAGAATGGAAGTTCACCAACCTGAGCATCATTGAATACAGAGAAAAGATAGATGAAGAAGAATTTTCTTTGGTCACCTACATGGTATGGCAGTACTTTCGTATTATATTGCATTGATTTGCTACCAAAAAGGTAAAAAAAACCCCACAAAACAACATAGTTTTCCACATTAGGGAACAAGCATTCACCCAACACAGTAAGTCATCTCCTGCTCACCTAAGTTTTGTCCATCTTCTTCAACAGATTTCCATGGAGAGACGACCCACTCTGTATGTGTTGAACCTGATTCTCCCAACATGTGCCCTGTATGTGCTGGATATGGCTGTGTTGTTTGGACCCAGCTCTCTCGAGGAGAAAATCGATTTCCAGATTGCCATCATCCTTGGCAGCTCCATGTTAGCTGTGATTCTCAACAACATCCTCCCAACTTCCTCCAACAAACCACCTGTAATAGGTACCCATCTTTATTGAATAAAATCTGAGTTTCACACAGGTACCAGCACTAAGGAAGGTCTTTATGCACTTATGGACACGTTCGTGAACACTCAAGTCATAAACAGCTAAGCTTTATCAGTTTGCTGGAGTCAGAAATTTCTCCCCCATCAGGCAGATACAGACAGGATGGCAGATTCAAGAAAACAATGTCAATTATCACAGGTTTTCTTTGTTTTCATTTTGTTCTGCAGTGGTGTTCTTCTTAGGCACCTTCCTGCTCATGATCATGGCTGTGTTAGACACTTTCTTCCTGTTGCACCAGCAGCACAAATCCCTACGCTTAAACAAGGTTCTCGGAAGCTTCCAGCAAGGTAAAGCAACCCATAATCTCCTAAAACAAGTAGGTGGAGTTACCTGCCCTTTGCTGCAGGTTCCTTTGACCGTGGGTGGGTTCCTTGGGGCAATCAGTGCCCCGGGGAGTATCAGTGCTGGGAGTCACCCACCAACCCCATCCACACTGACACGCGCCATTTGCTCTTTGCAGACACGCAGGCCGAGCTGGCGACGAGAGCCATGAACAACCAGACCATGAAACACCTCACCAGGGAAGGCATCCAACT